TATGACAGAACATTGTCTGTGCAGGTCCACGTCTTCGTATAGCCCCCATACAACGGTGCCTCCCTATATTCGGTATTTTAATGATTTTAGCGACATTATTCACCGGAATTGTTTCAAATTTGGTATTTGAAGTTCGTAATGGATACCACCGCCCAAGACAGTAAATTGTCTGTGCAGGTCCAAGTCTTCGTATAGCCCTCATATAACGGTACCTCCCGATATTCGGAATTTTAATGATTTTAGCGACATTATTCATCGAAATTGTTTAAAATTAGGTATTTGAAGTTCGCAATGGGTTCGGCTTTTATTTTTTCAGAGGCTTCTTTCAATTTGATAACAAGAAATAAATATATAAATTCGTTCCAAAATGGCTACCACATTTTGCCTTGACAGTCACGACTGCAGCACAATTTAACACGTCCGCAAAATACACACACAAACACAAGTTCTCTAGTCGTGGTCAGGAATAGCATCAAAAAAAAAAAAAAAAAACTTAAAATAAAAACAAAAAGTATTACCAAAATGTTGGAAAATGGATGGAAAGCGGAGAAAACTACATAATTGGATAGCGAGAAGATTGGTGCACAACGACAAAGCACAAAGACCTGCTCTTTTACGGTAACATAATAAAAATGATGACTTTTAATGGTCGAAAATGCCATTGAAGCTGCTTTTGAGCTTGCCAACGGCTACTACTTTTATGACCTCTTCATGTTACGCACAGACAAAAGGCTAAAAACAAACTATAGCTTAAAAATGTATGTATATAGGAGAATAAATGAAATTTTGTTGTTGTGTAGATGATGGGGGTGGGGTGCGAAGGCGGAAAGGAAAATTTGTCGGAAGTACCCCATAATAGACTTAAATGTTATTATATATATAATTATGGTCCTCCATTTTCCGCCCGTACGGCCATGTAACGTTGCTTCAGTTTTTGTAATTCTTTAAAAGCATTGTTGCAGCAATGCTCCTGGTGTGGCACTATAGAACTGGGTGTGAAAAACAATTTTAATGATTTTGATTTTTTTTTTGCGAAAAAAGGAAGCACTTCCTTTTAATGTTTTGTTCGTAACGGAAACGGAAGTGCAATTAATTATAGTGCCAAAAAATGTGCACACACAAATTACGGTAGGGGAGGAATTCAATTATGAAAGTAGGCAAAAGTAAATTTCGTTCAAATTACTATAAGAAGAAAATTAATTTTTAATGGTCATCAGGGCATTATGTGTGGATGGTTAAAAATGTTTTTCAAGGAGTTTCCATCGCAATAATTACAGATTATTAAATATATAATTCTAAATAATGACAGAACTGTAATCTTCTTAATGGTAAAAATATGTTTTCAAGGAGTTTTATGACAATGATTGCAGATTTTTAAAAATATATTTCAAAATAATCACAATCTTTAAATCTTTTAGACATAACCTGAATTATTAAATTTTTAAATATTTTTAGCCCAATAATAACTGTGTTTATATAAAAATAGTTTTAAAATTTTATTAAGAATCTAAAATATTGAATTTCTAAATTAAACTTTAATCGATTAGCAAGGATATAATCAGGACAATCTGGAAAATTTTAAGAAGGATAGAATCTGAGCTAGAGGCTTATATTAATAGGGTCAAAATCGTGGGTTTTCCAGGGTTGTCCTGGATTTTTCAGGACACTTTCTTTAGAGAAATTAGGCAATAAAATCAAAAGCAAGGTTGGCACTAAAAAATACCAAAGTGTCGATCACCTTTAGCAAGCGCTTTGCCGAGAATGGACCAAAATTCCGCAGAGCAACATTCGGGCAGCGTGTGACGGTTTCTTTGGCCGTTTGAGGCCATAATTCATGCCGAAGGTGACCAATTTGAACAAATCTAAACTTATTCTAAAATTTGATGCCATTTCCGACATTTTTTGCTTGAATTCAATAAAATTAAAAAAAGTAAAACCTATGGCATTTGATTTTGTTGCAGTTTTTTTTTTATCTCACCCTGTATAGGGGTTATAAACGTGAAAATCAAGGTAGCATGTCCAACAATTATCAGTACTAAAAACTAAAACTATTAGATCTGTAAAAATATTTTAAAGTATATTTTTCCGAGGACTAGCAGTGGTCTAATTGTGGATTATTTTAAGAATATCTTATCTTCGAATATTTTTTCGGGAACTAGCAGAGTTATAATTCTGGATTCTCAAAGAACAATTGTCATTTGTCAAGCTCGTCTTGTTTTTTTTTCAAAATATTTTCTCCAAAAATGACAATGAATCCCTTCCACATCGTCTTCCCAAAACCAAAAGGAGAACAACCTGGAATTATTAAAGTGATTTTTTGAAAAGATGAGAGGGTCTATAATTGTTAGATTTACGAATATCCTTTCCAAGACTACCAGAGTCAAATTCATGGATTTTTTAGAAATGTTTTTCATAAAATACTTCCGGGATAATCAGGACTTTTTTAAATATTTTTTTAATTACATTTTTTATATTACATTATCTGGATTCCATTTGATACGGCTAAAGCATGCCTCAACGAAATAAGGGTTTTAGACACTAAGTCTCCTTGGACCAAATCCCTATCAGGATATAAAGTGTCCGTCATCTCGTCCGTCTGTCTATCTGTCTGGCTGGTGCGCCGGATAACTCTCAAAGGGAGTATCCGATTTGATTCAAAAAACAATTATAAAATGTCAAGTTAATTTTACTCAAATGTATATTATTTCTGCAAGACTTTTGGTATTGAAAATGGGCCTTGTAGATCCACGTTTTGGAATAGCCCCACCATAACGATATCTCCCTATATTCGGTACTTTGATGATTTTAGCGAGATTATTAACCGGAATTGTTTCAAATTTGGTATTTAAAACTCGTTGTAGATATTACAGCCTATGACAGAAAATTGTCTGTGCAGGTCCTGTGCAGGTTTTCGTATAGCCCCATATAAGGGTACATCCCGATATTCACTATTTTGATGATTTTAGCGACATTATCCACCGGAATTTTTTCAAATTTGGTATTTGGAGTTCGTAATGGATACTACAGCCTAAGACAGTAAATTGTCTGTGCAAGTCCACGTCTTCGTATAGCCCTCATATAACGATACCTCCCGATATTCGGTATTTTGATAATTTTAGCGACATAATTCATCGAAATTGTTTAAAATTAGGTATTTGAAGTTCGCAATGGATAAAATAAATTATTATTATTATTTTTTTATTTATTTTATTTTTTTGTTGAAAATTGCTAAATTTGTTCCAAACGCTGGAGGGTATTCAAAATTCGGCCCGGCCGAACTTACAGATTTTTTATTTTTATTGGTTTTTTTTTTTTTTTTTTTTTTTTTTGAATAAGCGGTAAATATTGAAATGAAACCTCTTTGGCTAGACGTATATTTGGTTTTAGAACGTAATTACCATATGACAATTTTCACCGCATTGATTGCCAATACCTTCAGTAGAGACTTGTCTAAGGGTATTGAACTCTTTTTTTGGGATGATAAACTATACATGAAACAATTCGAAATAGGGTGTATTCGGTTTTCAATTTGATAACAGGAAATAAATATATAAATTCGTTTTTTTCATGGTACTACATTTTTCCCAAAATGGCTACCACGGATAACTCTCAAAGGGAGTATCCGATTTAATTCAAAAAACAATTATAAAATGTCAAGTCCGATTGTCTTCAAATTACACAGATCACATGGTCTGGTGTTAAGATGGAATATATAAAAATTATAATTGAGTCAATGCTAGGTCAGGTGCGAGAATGAACAATATCGGTCCACTCCATGAAGTACCTCACCCACAAAGGGTCAAAATGTTAAATAACTACAACTCTTATAAAATGTGATGTGAGAGTCCGATTTTCTTCAAATGTCACACATCCCAATATTCTTATTTATCCAAGGTCTGGTATTAAGATGGAATACATCGGTCAATTTCTTCCGATTCGCCTCAGTTCTCGGTCTGGTGCATACATGGATAATATCGGTCCACTCCATCAAATGCTCAAATGGTCAAAATTTTGAATAATTATAACTCTTATAAAATGTGATATAAGTATCCGATTGTGTTAAAATCTCACAAATCCGGTATCACCCCACAAAAAAAAAAAAAAAAAAAAAATATATATATATATATATATATATATATATATATATATATATATATATATATATATATATATATATATATATATATATATATATATATAGAAATGTTCGATTTTTTTATTTATTTATTTAATAATTTAATTTATTTTTTAATAATAAATAAATTTATTAATAAATTTATTATTTTTTTAATTTATTTAATTATTTATTTATTTATTTATTTATTTATTTTTTTTTTTTGTAATTTAGCCCCTACTTATATTTTTATCTATATTAGATTAAGTATGAAAATCGAATACTTTGCTCGGCTATGTCTAGTAACTCACTCACATTTTAACACTTCCTAAAAATCATCACATATCTCATAAAAACTGAAGGAAACCACCAATATAGTCCAAATCTGGCACATCACAATTTTTATATCATATTTATTTTGGACCGAATGAACAATATTGAACAATATTGGCCAATTCCTTTGGAACCTATTGCACAGATGTTCAACAATTTGAATAATCGTAACACAAGACAAAATATGTTTTAAAAATCGAGCATTGGCTGAGGGTATACATCTGTCGGCAAACCCGAGCTTAAAAATGTCTTAGGTTTTTCAGAAAAAGTTCCAGTTTTTTAATATAATATTAAAGTTACTACTGAATTCTATTAAAATATTTTCAATGATAATAAGCGCTTGTACTTAAATTTAGGAACACATTGAAGTTTTTTTTTTATTTTTTAAATAAAGGTTTTACCAACACTTCAAAATAAATAAGAAAATAAAAAAAAATCCAACTAATCACATTTTTTATAAGGGTGCGTATGAAAATTTTCAGCACTCATACGACAGAGTATACCCCTTGCACAATGATTTTTAAATAATATATTTTTTAGCTGTATGTCTTACCTTTCTTGCACTTCTTTTGGATAGTTCGTGTTTGATCACAGGCTGGATCGCCCTTCTTCAATGTCAGCGTTCTTGAGCGTGTATTAGTCTTTGTGTCACATTCAGTCCATGGATTCTTGCCATACCGACAGGAAAGTCCTAGTTTTAGAAGAGAAAAAATAATTAATGAAAAAATTGTGCAACATTAAAAAAATATAGTTATTTAGGCTATTAAACATTCATTTCTAGCACCATAACTAAATGTAAAGAATTGTAGATTATGAGATTTCTTTTTTTTTTTGGTTTAAAAATTTCCATTTCTTATTTCAATCATAAAATAAGGAAAAATCTTTTCGATATGTGACCCTAAACCTATCCCAACAATCTTGTAAATTAATTTGATACATTTTTTTTTTTTTTGTTAAACTAAATAAAGATAAAATGTTACTTTCACGCTTTGACAATTTTTCAGAAGAGTTCTTAGAAATAACATCCATCTAATGAAATACCTTTTACTACAACATTTAAACACTTAACCCGCAGCCCCCTTCCACGTGGATTTATTTCGCATTTTCCATTTATACTTTATTCAGTAACCTTTATCCATTCTAACCTTTGATTTGCTTTGTAAATATTTAAATTGCTATTTCCTCATTTCCATTTTACCACTTATTTCTTATTTGTTTTAATGCTCTTCCTTCTTCTTTATCGTCTTCTTGTCAAATGCAAACATTGACTATATCTTAATGTCGACTCTATTGCTAGACGATGAGCAAGTGAGTGTGTGTAAGTGCTCCCACTATGAGATGCGACATCCGTATTCAATATGATTAAGTGACACAGTGTTTCGATACTGGCAGAAAGTAAAAAAATCAAAAAAATATGAAAGAAATCTGATATTTTGTCGCCACAATTCGAGGGAAAATGACACATTCTTGTAGTTATACATCTTTCAGCTTCAATGTAAGACTTTTATAATGCAAAATTTCAGGACAAGAATAAGGACATTTAACACAATTTCTGAGACACCCCCTCCTTTGTATTGTGAAAAACATATCTGGTAATTTTATCCATTTTTTTCCTTTTGATGATCAAAACAACACCTCTTATTGGGAACCCCTTTGTTTTGCCATATAAAAACTTTAATTTGATTGATGAGGGACTCCTCTCAATTTATAACTAACTTATGATTTTTCGTGCTAGTGGTGGACGTGGAATTCTTTACCCCAAAAATATAATTTGCTTGAGTTTCGTCGTCAAGGCAGATTTATAAAAAATTCAACAGCAAAAAAAAAAAAAATGATAAGTATTCAAAACAATTTCAAACAAAGTAGTCTGTGCAAAGTAGTCCAAAAAAAAATCAAATCTTTTTTTTTAAGTCCTCCTGATTTTTTTTTTTTTTTTTTTAATTTGTTAAAGATTTTTAAGGCCAAAAATAAAAAAAAACATATTTTTTATATTTTTTTAAGGACCATATTGAGAGGACTTTTCTTGCGACAATCTGAACAAATCTCCTGGGGCCTTTGAAGTTTTCCAGCCAAAATTATTGGATTTTTTGATGGGCTTCTTGAAAAAAAAAAAATGATCGACTTTATATAATTTTTATTTATTTGCTTTGTTTTTAAATTTATTTATAATCTTAAATGGTAATAAATATTTCAAAACTAAATAAACAATTTTTGAAATTATGGAAATTAGTTTAGAAAAAAAGAACGATATTTTAAGAAACTTTTAAAACTTTAAACTTTAAGAAACCAGGATCCACTGATTTTTTTTTTTTTTTTTTTGGAAAATTGCCTTTCAACCTGTTAAAAAATCATAGATTTTTAATAAAAAATGTCCATGGACATTTTTACAGGAACTTTATTTAGAAAAAAATTTCCAGGATAAATTTTGAAAGAACATTTTGAAAGATTTGGGCGTTTCAAATCGTTTACAAATTTTCTTTATCAAAAATCTTGTTAAAATTTCCTGGTTAAAGTTGTGGATTTTTTAAGAACTTTTATGTAAAATATTAGGGTTTTTTTTTCAAGACATTTTTATTGTTATTTGTTAATAAAATAAGAAAACTACACAAGGACCTAATGACAAAAAATCGTGGGTATTTAAAATATTTCTTTGCCAAAAATCTTAGTTTTTTTTCAAGTAAAAAATCATGAATTGTTTAAATATTTTTCATGGCCAAAAAAGGTAAGTTTTTTGGTAATTTCAGCATAGACTTCATGTCCAAAATTTGCGGATGTAGTAAAAATAAGTCATAGATTTTTTCAAAAACCGAAAAAAATGAGTTTATGCTTAAAAAAAAGTAGGAACAATTTCGAAAAGAATTTCCGAGGATGTAAAATATTTGCCCAGGTTTTACATTTAATGAAGATGATCTAGAAAAAAATGTGTTTTCTTTTCAGGGACATCGCAGTAAAAATGCATTTTTATCCATGACTTTAAGTTTTGAAAGGTAAGAAATGTTTTTAAGAAGTTTTATGAAGGGCTATTTTTTCATAACCTTGTATTTTGTAATAAAACGATAGTACATATTCCCCTAATAAAATTAGTGATTTTATAGGAATATTTTTATGGAAATTTGTAAAGAACTTAAATAGATTTAAAAAAATTGCAATCTTTTCAAATTAAAACTATGATTTTTTAATTTAATTTTTTATTTAATTTTTGAATTTTTAATGCCAACATACATTTTTAGAACCAAAATTCGTGATAAAAAACCAGTAAGAAAAGATAATTGTCGATTACCACACTATAAATATTTAGTAGTCCCACGTAGTAAATAAACGCTCATATTAGCAATGCAGGTGTTAACTGCGTATTAAGACTTTAGAGCGGTTTTAATTTGAACAAGTAAAAAAACTGTAAGTTCGGCCGGGCCGAATTTTCAATACCCTCCACCAATTAAATACGTTAAAAATTCTGTTAAAATCTTAAAAATACCGAATAAAGCTGTAATATTAGGGTCTATACGAAGACATGGACCTACATAGGTAACATTTGTCATAAGCCATTACAATATAAAAATGCGAAACTTGAAACAAATCGGTAATACTGCAATTAAAATCATAAAAATAGCGAATATCGGGAGGGACCGAAGACCGAATACGAAGACGTGGACCTGCACAGACAATTTTCTTTCATAGGCTGTAGTATTCATTACGAACTTCAAATACCAAATTTGAAACAATTCCGGTGAAAAATGTAGCTAAAATTATTAAAATACCGAATATCGGGAGGTACCGTTATATGGGGGCTATACGAAGACGTGGACCTGCACAGACAATTTTCTGCCTTAGACTGCAGTATCCATTACGAACTCCAAATACCAAATTTGAAACAATTCCGGTGAATGATGTCGCTAAATTCATCCAAAATATCGAATATCGGGAGGTACTGTTATATGGGGGCTGTACGAAGACGTGGACCTTCACAGACAATTTTCTGTCATAGGCTGTAGTATCAATCATGAACTTTAAATACCAAATTTGAAACAATTCCGGTGAGTAATGTCGCTAAAATCACCAAAATACCGAAAATAGGGAGGTACCGTTATATAGGGACCATACGAAGACGTGGACCTACATAGTCCATTTTCAATACCAAAAGTCCTGCAGACATAACATACATTTGAGTAAAATTCTATCAATCTACTTCAATTCGTTCGGAAGCTAGAGTGATTTCTAAATCCACGAATTTCATGCTGATCAAGAATATATATATATATATATATATACTTTGTTGGGTCTAAAATGTGTATTTCGAGGTGTTACAAACGGAATGACAAACTTAATGTACCCTTCATACTATGGTGGAAGGTATAAAACGGTTAAAACTAACCTATGGAAGCTATATCCTAATCGATTTCCATTAAACTTGACTGAGGCAAATTAGGGTTGTGTGACCTCTCGAACCAAATATCGCTGCTATGAAACGCAGTAAATACATATGGGATACCTATCAAAATCTGAACCGATCTCGACAAAACTTGGAAAAGGTAGTTTTATGTTTCTTGTGTTGGAAATCTTTGTTATTGAGTGTATTGAGTACGGATTTGGGTGAAGCTATAGCAGCGAAATTCAACACACTTGATTCTAGACTAAATTCGTAATCTTTGCCAAAAATCATTTCGACTAATATTACACATTTGGCGAGCAATACACATCAAATTAAAAGAAAGATATATATATATATGGGAGCTATCTGAACCGATCTCGAAAACAATTACATTTCTGAGCTGTATTTGATATCTGGTACCAAATAGCATTTTTGTGGAATGCATATTACGAATGAGGGATACTTAAAAACCAAATCGGATGAAACATATATATGGGAGCTATATTCATATTTGAAGCGATTTTCACCGAATTTTTAACACTCGCTTCTTGGCTGAATTAGGTCATAAGTGCCGAAATGCATTCTATTTGGTGCACAATAAACGCCAAATCGTTCTTCCAAATCGAATTCCAAGATGAATTCGATTTGGTGTGCCGAAATCCACTGCATTTGGACGAATAATACACAAAAATTAAAATTCGTCCCTGGGCCAAAAATGATTTGTGGATAATTCACTCTCAATCAGACAATAAATGCGACCTGTACTTTCTTTACAAAAAATACATGGACAGACTAACAGATCGACAGTCATGCAAGAAGATCATCAAAGGTTTTACATTTAATGATGATTTTCTGGAAATAATGTGAAAATGTGAATAAATGCAAATTTCTGATATTAATGGATTTTTAAGAATAATTTTGAAGGTAGTTGTTTGTCGATTTAATTAAAATTGAATCATATTTTCGATTTTGTGGGTAAGGATTTTAAGGACTTCCCAGTCGACAAATCTTGAACTGTTAATTATATGAATACTTTCAAAAAATTCGTTAAAAACACTCGAATACTTTTGTTCTTAAGTATTAACTTTCAATTGTTTATATAAATTCTAGAACCTTTTTCAAAATCCGCAACACTGTAGCATTTCCCAAGACGACATGCACTTTTCTCTACATATATATTTATCTACATCTACAACTTAGCTAAGGCTTGTGATTATTTATTTATTCGCCCGTCGTGTTGGTTTTTATTTTCTTTTTTTTTTTTCTTTTATTTTTCATTCCTTCTCTCAAAGCTGCTGAATGCCAGCAGTGGAATACAGTCATTCTCGTACATGACAAGCCAAGAGCCCCCCCAGGGGTGCCAACTACCCTCGATTGCATTGAAAAGTGAATTGGGTGCGGTTTTGAGTGGGTGATACACATAAATATATAAAAATACACATAAGTATGTATGTCTGTGCGAATGTGTGTGTGTTCGTACTTACCATCGTTCTTTGTGCCACGTTCATTGCGTATTAATATCTCGTGATCATCTTCCTCCCAGATTTCACCCTGCGATGCTGTTGTCGGCTGTGTCTGTTCGCCAACTGGCAGAGCCAGTGGTGTCTCTTGGACTTCTGTTGTGGCACACGCCAAATGTGGCAGCATTGACAAGGAGGCCAATGCCACCGCCATTATTGTGCACACCAACGACGACGACGACGACGATGATGATGAGACAACTTGATTATGGTGGCGGTAATGTTTCATTTTTTCTGTTTTTGTTGGGTTTTTGCTGTGTTAGTTCGGTTCGGTTCGGTTCTGTGCTCAGACTACACTTCGTTGTGCTCGACCGACTGTGAAGAGATGCGACAACGCCGACGACGATGAATGGAAATTGCAAACGATGACGATGACGATTTAGGGCGACTGTTCGTGATGCTGATGAACTGGTGCAGATTTCAATGGAAATGGTTCAAATAGCGGTGGTGATGGTTTTGGTGCTGCTTAGCCCTTGAGTCCTTTTGACAGCTTCTCAACAAAGTTCTGGAAATAAACCAAAAATTTGCGTGCTGTGAGACAAGTTGTTGGCCAAAATGCTAGTAGAGAACGTATGTATATGTGAATATTAGTGAGTGTTAATGTGATAATATTAGTGTGAGTACTGAAGTAGTTGCCCAGTGTATTTGAAAATTTGGTTTTGGATTCGTTGTAATCTTGTGGTGTGGTGCCCAAAAATTTATTGCAAAGAATTTGTTTTTCGAGTGCAGGATAACGCGGAGCTGAAAGCATATAATAAGTAAATATAAATTAATTTAGGAATTAAAAAGACCTATAAACTTTTTTCTAATAGAAAACAAGTAAGAAAAGGCTACAGTCGAGCGGGGCCGACCGTTGAATACCCTACAACACTATAAAAAACGACACAGTTTACATAGGCGAGATACTCAAAAGAATTGCACAAGATATTGTGACAAATAATAAAAGAAAACCATCAGGTTTCGTTCTCTAATTTTCGAATAATAGCAACTTAAACTAATTTGCTCATTTCCAATTTATTCTGGAACCAATATTTCCCAAAGACCCATAATCTCTCAGAAGTGGCAAAAGATTAACATTTATTATTGGTTTTTGACTATATGAGATACAGACATTTGACTATATTCTTCAACGAAATCAGCGTTAACGAAATAGTCAGAAGTGTGTCTTTCCTGTATTTGTGAATTCTCCAAGAAGTCACTGGAATGGATATTTTGGTATTTTGTCTACAAAAGTTGGCAAAATATTTCACACATTGAATATTTTTGGATGGCCATCCAAAACTGCTTGGCTTTTGCAATGTCCGGTAACCCCCATTCAAATGTGCCTGAGTATCGGGCGATAATTACGACCTGCTGACAATTTTGCAGTTTTTGGTCCATTTCAACCCCTAAATATATGGCGATCATCTCCAAAAAGAGTGGGCATCTATTCTGACCCTCATCTTATCCCCATGCAAAATTTCGTAAGGATCGGGCCATAAATGCGATCTGTATATGATATCCTGATATCCTAACTACTTAGTTTTGTTAGCTGTAGAAATATTACCAAATGTTTAATTCAAAATGAAAATATGCCAAAAATATGACAAAATTGAAAAAATATGAGAAAATTTTACAAAATCAATGTTTTCATCTTTAGAGAGATATTTTTATCCGCTTTTTTAGACGTTTTTTCTTTCCTGCCAAGAGGCCATTCTGAATTAATGAGAACTGTCGAAATCAGTTCAGCCGTTCTCGACATATAAGAGATCTTTCAAGCATATCTTCTTTGATAGACATCGCACATATTTTGCTATATATTCGATTTGTTGGATCTTAACATCAATGTAAAGATCAGAAGTAACCTTGTCATGGCTTTATGATTTCGCCGAGATTTAAAATATTCGCGGTTTGATGAAAAATTTTGAATTTTTTTCAATACAAAAGATATTGTCTATTTTACCCGCTAAATATTATCCGATGACCACCCAAATTGGTAGGCTTCTTCCCCTCCCTAAACTCCAGCTACATGCGAAATTCCGCGTCGATTGGTCTATAATTGCGACCTGTATAGCTTCTGCAAAATCCGACATTTTTTCAGTATTTGGTCCATTTCAACCCCTAAAAATTTGGCGATCATCTCCAAAAGCAATAGGGTTCTATTCTGCTCCAAGCCCCACCTACATTCTAAATTTCGTGAAGATCGGACCATAATTGCGACCTGTAGAGTGATTACAAATTAACATGGACAGACGGACAGACGGACGGACGGACATACATAGCTAGATCGACTCAGCTCGGCTAGCTAGGAAGATCCATATATACTTTCCTATATGGGAAATCAATATTTCGAGGTGTTACATAAATTCTGGCCCAATCAAACTTATAATACCCCCAACACATAGTGTTGTAGGGTATAATTATAATACCCCCAACACATAGTGTTGTAGGGTATAAACATTGAATAAGAATACACAATTACAATTAATACTAGAATAGCCTTAAATGGGTAATGTATCAGTCGATTTTGCCGACAGATGTACACCCTCAGCCAGTGTTCGATTATTAAAATATGTTTTGACTTCTGTTATGATTATTTAAATTGTTGACCCTCCATGGAGTGGGTTCCAAAGGAATGGGCCAATACTGATCTAAATAAATATGATATAAATATTGCGACGTGTCGGATTGGGACAATATTGGTTACATCCTTCATTTCATATGAAATATGTGATAATTTTTAGAAAATGTTAAAATGTGCGTCAGGTACCAGATATTGTCGACGGACGCATTTCATTTTCATACTTCATCTAATACAGATACAACAAGTTAAAAAGTACAAATCGGTTTTGCCGACAGACGTACACACTCAGCCAATGTTCGATTAATTAAAAAAAATTTGAATTCTGTTATGAATATTCAAACAGTTAACCTTCTATGGAGTGGGCTCTGAAGTGAAGCGGATTTAAATAAATGTGATAGAAATATTGTGACGTGCCAGGTTTGGACTTCCCTTCACTTTACATGACACATGTGATAATTTTTAGAAAATGTTAACACATGCGTAAGATACCAGATATAGTCGACCGAAGTATTCCATTTTTATACCCTCCACCATAGTATGGAGGGTATATTAAGTTTATCACTCCGTTGGTAACACCTCGAAATACACATTTTAGACCCCACAAAGTATATATATTCTTATTAAGCATAAAATTCTATGTCGATTTAGCGATGTCCGTCCGTCTATCCGTCTGCCCGTCTGTGGAAATCACACTAGCTTCCGAACGAATTGAAGTAGATTGGTAAAATTTTGCCCAAATGTATGTTATGTATGCAGGACTTTTGGTATTGAAAATGGGCCATGTAGGTCCACGTGTTGGTATAGTCCCCATATAATGGTACCTCCCGATATTCGGTACTTTGATGATTTTAGCTACATTATTCACCGGAATAGTTTCAAATTTGGTATTTGAAGTTCGTAATGGATACTACAGCCTATGATGGAAAATTGTCTGTGCAGGTCCACGTCTTCGTATAGCCCCCCATATAACTGTACCTCCCCATATTCGGTATTTTAATGATTTTAGGGACATTTTTCACCAGAATTGTTTCAAATTTGATATTAGAAGTTCGTAATGGATACTACAGCCTACGACAGAAAATTGTCTGTGCAGGTCCACGTCTTCGTAGAGCCCCCTTATAACTGTACCTCCCGATATTCGGTATTTTAATGATTTTATGGACATTTTTCACCAAAATTGTTTCGAATTTGGTATTTGAAGTTCATAATGGACACTACAGCCTTAGACAGAAAATTGTCTGTGCAGGTCCACCTCTTCGTAAAGCCCCCATATAACGGTGCCTCCCGATATTCGGTAATTTAATGATTATAGGGACATTTGCACCAGAATTGTTTCAAATTTGATATTTGAAGTTCGTAATGGATACTACAGCCTATGATGGAAAATTGTCTGTGCAGGTCCACCTCTTCGTAAAGCCCCCATATAACAGTACCTCCCGATATTCGGTATTTTGATGATTTTAGGGACATTTTTCACCAGAATTGTTTCAAATTTGATATTTGAAGTTCGTAATGGATACTACAACCTACGACAGAAAATTGTCTGTGTAGGTCCACGTCTTCGTATAGCCCCCGTATAACGGTACCTCCCGATATTCGGTATTTTGATTTTATCGACATTATAACCGATTTTTTTTTAAATTTCGCATTTGAATATTGTAATGGCTTATGACAAATGTTTCCTACGCAGGTTCATTTCGTCGTATAGACCCTAATATAATAGCTAATTCCGGTATATTTAAGATATTAACAGAATTTTTAACGGATTTTATTGTTTTTGAGAATTGCCAAATTCGTTCCAAATGGTGGAGGGTTTTCAAAGTTCGGCCCGGCCGAACTTACAGCTTTATTACTTGTCATACTTCATCTTGTGTTGATGGAAATATTGAGATGTACCAAGTCTGGAATGGAATCGGATATTAAATTCGCTTTTTATGAGTTTCATGAATATTGTAAATGTGGACCCCTTTGGGTATGAATGAGGGTGACTGGACCCATATATCCCATCTTCACACCAGGCCTTGGCTTAATAAAAATATTGTGATTTGTGTAATTTGAAGACAACAGGGCTCTTACGTCACAATTTATAATCGTTTTGGTTATTCAAACTTTGTGGGGGAGGTACCAAAAGGAGTGTACCGATATATCCCATCTTCAAACCCGACCTTCCCTTAATAGAAGTTTTGTGATGTGTGTAATTTGAAGAGAACCGGATGTTTATTTCGGATTTTATGTAGGGAAGGTATCAGAAGGAGTGGTGCGATCTCTACCATGTCTATAATATACCTTGTGGTGCCAAGTCTGCATGGAATCGAGTATTAGTTTCGCATTTTATGGGCTTCGTGGTTATTCAAAATTTTGACCCTTTGTGGGGGAGATACCCGGTGGAGTGGCCTGATTTTTCCATCTTCACACCAGACCTTGGGTTAATAAAAATAATGCGATGTGTGTAATTTGAAGATAATCGGACCCTACATCACATTTTATAAGAGTTATAATTATTCAAAATTTTGACCCTTTGTGGGGGAGGTACTTGATGGAGTGGGCCGATATTGTCTATTTTCGAACCTTACCTAGCTCTGATATAAATATTAGGATTTGCAAAGTTGGAGCAAAATCGGAGAATACTTTCCCTTTCTGTTCAAAAAAATATTCATCAAAATGTTGAGCCTTTATGGGGGGGGGGGGTGTATTAGGAGGTAATGTCCGATCCCGACCATCTTCATAACAGATCTCATGTTTATGGAAATATTGAGATGTACTAAGTCTGAATGGAATCGGATATTAATTTCGCGTTTTATGAGCTTCATGGGTACTCAAAATGTTGACCTTTTGTGGGAGAGGAACAAAAAAGAGGTGATATATCCCATAATCACACCAGACCTTGGGTTAATAAAAATTTGCTTATGTGTGTAATTTGAACCTGACCTAGCACCGATGCA